TAGACCCGACAAACAAGAACTGAAAGGACTAGGGCTTTTAAAGGCAGGAAAATTGGGGAGGAACGAGACACACCTGGAATCAAATTAACACAATCAACATGAGGAAGAAACTGGGTCACAGGGGCAAAAACACACACAGAATAGTCCATAATCCTGACACAGAGCATGTATGTGGATCTTTGATATCTTTTTGCACAAGCACATTTCAGTATGGTCGCATGTCTGGCAAGTGGTTTATAAGGAAGGAGGAACTGTTCACTGGTCATGTCGAGCTGCCTTCAGATCACCACATTCGACAAATTAAGAATGTTTTTATTTGCTTTTTTAATTTGTGTTTTGCTCTGTTTAATAATTCTAAATGGATCCGTATATAGTAGTCAACATTTGAAGTGGATCAAAAAAGTTAATCAAAGTTGTCCTAAAACCTACAACCAAAATGCACTCTTGTCTTAGGACAACTTTGATTAACTTTTTTGATCCACTTCAAATGTTGACTACTGTATATTTATCTACAGTCAGGTTAAGGCGACTGGTATAGTGGTCTGTTGGCATCTCCGCTGGGATGTATGCTAAAATTGTTGGACGTGATGCCCTACCAAATGTTTCCACCAGCTGCCACTGTATCTCATGAGCTTTTGATGTCTTATATATTATGTCTTAAATACTTATGTCTAAATATTAATTGTGAAGGAAAAGCATCATGAAGTGCTCATCACATGTTCCTCCTTCACTAATGCTTGAAAGCATCCCAGGATCCATATTAAGTTAGAGGATAAATATCCAGACCAAGAAGAAGCGCAAATATAAGAGCATTTTCCTCTATTTAACAAGTTTGTTTGCTGCATAATTCCCTTGCCTCCTTTTGTGTCGTTTCATAGTTTGGTGACTTCAATATTATTCTGAAAAGTGGACATTTGTCATAATCAAGAATGAGTAGATGTGTCCAAACTTCTGACTGCCAGTGTTCATACGAAGCTTAAGAGAAGATCAACTCATTTCTTAGCTCTGAACCATTTGATATGTAGCCTACCGATGTCACACACACTAAGGACAATATAGCATATTTTGGGTCAGCATCGTTCTCTGCGACAGATCACACATGAGATGGATGGTTTTGCCCTCAGGTTGGCTTGGCCTACCAGGCAGCGTGGCATGCTCTGTTGTAGTGCAGTGATTCACTCGACACAGACCATCGGTGATAAATCTCTTTGTCGCTAATGAACTGCATTTAACAATAAAATGCAGCGGGAAACGGAACATTTCATTTATAAGAAGATCAATGACACTGACAGGCCCTTCTTTGCTCGCTTTCGGAGGAGTGCTGGCGGGCTTTTGCCGTGCAACAACCGTCATCAATCACAGATGCTACAACAACCAGATCAATCAAACGTGATGCTCGGGCGCAAAATACGAAGCATCGCAAGAAACAGGGGAAACGGGCCCCTAATCATGTGTCTGAGAGCAGGTTTAACCCGTTCACTCAAGCGTGATTGTGTTGGTACACGCGTTACGGCGGAACACACCAGAAGTGAGTGATCATGGTTGGGGTCGGGAAGCGCTTCATCAACGACGTCCTCCATCTGCAGAGCGACAGTTCATAATTCCAGGCATCTGCTTTCATTTATAAAGTGATCACTTAGTCCTCCATGAACCTCTGTCGGAGTTACTGCGGCCCTCTCGTCCTCTCCAGCTCTGAAACAGATCAAAGCAGCAGTTCAATGAAAACCAGTCTGAATGATTCATTCACAAATCAGACAAAATGAGTAAAAAAGCATTGTCTATTTTAAATGCAAATTATATTTAGGCTCCCAATGTTTTTATGGGATGAATCATGGCTGCAACCAAACTGAATTAGAACACATGAAATTATAATAAACACCATTATTAAAGGGAAAGTTCAATTTGGTCATTTATTCACCTTCAAGTTGTTCCAAACCGGTTTCTTTTTTTTGTTGAACATAAAAGAAGATATTTTGAAGAATGTGACAGTTGCAGGTCACCATTGACTTCCATAGTGTGGAAGAAATACTAGGGAAGTCAATGGGGACCAGAAACTGTTTGATTACCTTGAGGGTGAGTTTATGATGGCAGAATTTTCATTTTTTTTGGTGAACTATCCCTTTAATAAAAAGTTTTGAAAAAAATTTTTTTGTAAAGAAATTAATACTTTTATTTTGCAAGGAAGCATTAAATTGATCAAAAGTGTCAGTAAAGGCATTTATAATGTTACAAAAGATTTCTGTTTCAAATAAATGCTGCTATTTTGAACTTTCTATTAATCAAAACTGTTTTCAACATTGATAATAATCAGAAATGTTTCTTGAGCAGCAAATCAGCATATTAGAATGATTTGTGACCCTGGACCACAAAATTAAGTAAAGATCATGTTCCATGAAGATATTTTGTAAATTTCCTACCTTAAATAAATCAAAACTTAATTTTTGATTAGTAATATGCATTGCTAAGGACTTAATTTGGACAACTTTAAAGGTGATTTTCTCATTATTTCGATTTTTTTGCACCCTCAGATTCCAGATTTTAAAATAATTGTATCTCGACCAAATATTGTCCTATCCTAACAAACCATACATCAATGGAAAGCTTATTTATTCAGCTTTCAGATTATGTATAAATCTCAATTTTGAAAAATTGACACTTAAGACTGGTTTTGTGGTCCAGGGTCACATTTCTGAAGGTATAGTGACACTGAAGACTGGAGTAATGATGCTGAAAATTCAGCTTTGACTCACAGGAATAAATTACATTTTAAAATATTAAAATAGAAAAGAGATATTTTAAATTGTTATAATATTTCACAATATTACTGTTTTTATTCTATTTTTGGTCAAATAAATGCAGCCTTGGTGAGCATAAGAGACTTTCAGAAACATTAAAACATCTTACCAAACCTAAACTTTTAAACAGTAGTGTAGAGTATGGTTTAAGATTCATGAAAATGAGTTGTACAACTTGAGAATTTAGGCCCACAGGTCAGATTATCAGCACTGAACTGATCAGTGAAGTATCCAAGGTCTAACATGTTTAACGTGTATGAATAAAGAACAGGTCGGCATGCTTCCTGATTTCAAAAAAGTAAACAAGTCTCATTGTCCTGTCTGAGAGTAAGAGGAAACAGGAGGGGGCTGTATTGTTACGCTCTGCTCGTATCTCAAAATAATCCAAGGATGCATCCCAATTCACACACTTCCAGAGGCATCATGCACCTGTTTTTTCTTTCACTTGGTGCCATAGGCAAGATAAAATAACTAAGAATTAATAAAGAAGCTGATCATGACTTATTATTAATCTAGTGGCATGACAGTTTAACACATAAAATTGCATCTTGATACAACAGAGCACCTGGTCGTGTTTACATAGATACAATCAAACACATAAATGAATAACCATTAAATTACTTCACTTTTTGGTTTAAACATCAATATGGATGCCTTACCATTTTTCAGTAACAGATCACATCAAATGAGTGATGGTTGGTTACAGTAGGCCTACTTTGAAAATATGCCAGACATTTTCAGCATACTATTTTGAACAACTACAATTTGGGATGTAATAATCCGAATCTCACAAACTATTTAGGAAGGACTGTATGCAAACTGGGATGTAGCCTTTATTTGACCCCTGTGACCGTTCTTCTTTCTTTGCATAAAACTACATGTTAACATAAATTTGACATACAACTCCTATTACAAGAACACTAAAGCTTAGTGTAGGGGGACAGACAAAACACATCACATAATAGCAAAAGAAGTGATGCTTTCATTAAAGGCAGTGGTTCTCAAAGACAGGGTCGCAACCCAAAAAATTTGTCGTGGTCAATAGCACTAAAAATGACTAAATGTGAATAATGAAATGCAACTGATCATGCATATTTAAGATAGCAAAATAAACAGCCATATCAAGCTTTTATAAGTGCATGATATATCACTGCAAATTCATCTGTCACTTGGTAAAATGGTATTGTGTTGGGTTGATGTCTAAAGCAAACCCAGTTGAGAAACACTGATTTAAGGTGTGCTGCATTAAATTAATAACTTCATATTCTATAGATCAGAATGCATCACAGTCAGCAAATCATAAGAAATACATTAAGTCAAAAGGTGTAATATTCGATGCATTATAAGTAAATCTCTTTCCTCAATCAAAACACCACAGGTTATACACAAATGACATAATTCCATTAGTTTGCTCCTCTCAAAGATGATTTCATCTTATTTGTGTACTGTACTAATGTTGACATACTACGGTGCAACCTAATGATGGTGTTGAAAAGCAATTTGTGACCAGTAGGTGGTACACTTCTCCCATTATACTGCCAGCAAAGGCCTCATTTAAAAACTTGCTGTTTGATGATAATGAAAATCTTAAACTCTTGTTCCATCATTAAAAATAAAAACTAACATCTGTTGCAAATATATTAGGATACATTAGTGTCACCTTTGGGATCTGTACCAAATCGAAATCCTTGACGATTAACGACAGCATCAGACCAGTGAAATGTAGTCCTGGAGCCATTACAGAGATAATACATATCAGTCTGCTTATTTACCGCTCCTGACAACTTAGATATTATGCCTGCAGACCTGCTCAGTGACGCTCATAAGCCGAGAGAGAAGAGGAGAGGAGAGAGGAGTTATTTTACCTCTAATGTGCTCGGCTGGGATCCGAAGGGAGAGATGACTCCAGAGGAAAGAGGAAAGGTAACACATTGCAGAAGAATGTGCAAATGCCCTAAAATTAACTGAGCGCAAATTATTTCAATCGTATAAATTAAGGCATCTGAAAATGTCTGTATTAAAGACTTACAATTAACAGCAGGTGTCGCTTTCTCCACTGTCCCAGTTGGAATCTCTCTGGTAACAGGCCATCTGAATTCATCTGTATGACATAGAGGTCCTGCTGTTTCCTTGACCTCTAATATCTGTTTGAAATATGCAATAAATTAGAATGAATTACAGTTTTTCTCAGTCGCTTTGGTGCATTTCTCACATCACTATTTACATTTGCACAACAGTTAGTTCAACCTCCACAACATTTAGTCATTTGTGCACATCATAGTAGCAGTTTCTCATTCCTTCGAACAAATTGCAAATGCTTTTGGACATGCATCAATTGCTTTCATACAACTCTCTGCTGTTTTATAACATTATCATTTGCTTATGTCATGTCAGTCAAAATTAACTATACTTGTGAATGCTGAATAGTCATTCCATATAAAACTAATAGTCCTCATTTCATTGCTTGAGTCATTACATACAAAAATGTTGAACTAGTTGTCAAAATCTGTCAAGCAAATTTTACAAATTTTTTTAAATCTTTTTTTTCCTGAAAATGTCTCCTAAATTGAACAATTTCTCTCAGGTCAATCTCAACTTTCACTGATGAGAAGGGGTGTGTGAAGCATTAGTTGCAACCAATGATAAGCCACTTCTCTACAATCACTGTCAGAGCTGAATCCCATAAACCCCCACTTTACAAGCATATATGAACCAAGCAGGACATAGTGTGTACCATTTCTACAATACTGTGACACAGAAATGGAAGGTCAGCCTCGTGGAAGAGGGGTGAGGGTGCGGGGAGGAAGGGGAAGGGGACAAAACAGGGGAAGAGGAAGAAGAGGCCAAGTACATAGGCGGATCCCTGATGAAATCAGGGCTACAATTGTGGATCATGTTGTCAATCACGGCCTCACAATGGCTGAGGCTGGTCGAAGGGTGCAGCCAAATGTTGGGAGAACCACTGTAAATTCAATTATTCAAACATTTCGTCGGGAGAACAGGTGTGTATAAATGGACAGTAATTCAGCACTAAACAATCTGCACTGCACTACTGTCATTGTGTCATACATGAAGCTTGCAGTGGGACAAGAACTTGTCACTGTACATTTTACATTTAGACGTACAGCTTTACTGCATCACACATTTAGTGTATTGTAGTGTACAGTAGTGTTACAGTAAAGATTTGCCATATTTACTGTAATTTTACTCTGCACCACACAGGATTGCAAGACAACCTTGCAGAGGTGGAAGAGGGCCCCTTTTTACTCCGCAACAAGAGGAAGCCATTTGTGCAATGGTGATTGCAAACAATGCCATAAGGTTGAGAGAGATACAAAGTGCTGTTATAGAGGATGACAACATCTTTGGGAATATTGAATCTGTTTCAGTCGCTACAATTGACAGAGTGCTCAGGAGGAATGAAATGCGCATGAAACAATTGTACAATGTGCCATTTGAACGGAACAGCGACAGAGTGAAGGAGCTCCGTCACCAGTATGTACAGGTAAAACATGTATGTGTTCTATGCATATTCTAATGTTCAGTGCTGTAAACTGTTTACTTTGTGTAGTGTCATGCACTACACTTACATGACAGTTCTGTGTATGTGTATTCACAGTGCATACTGTACAATATGTTGTCCAAAATGCATTATGTTACACAGGAAAAGTTGTTATAGTTTTTCTCACTCCCTCTTCTGTAATAAAGCATGTACTGGAGCTGGAGGGCAGGGAACCGCTGCACACATTCATATACCTTGATGAGGCGGGTTTCAATCTGGCAAAAGGTAGAAGACGTGGAAGGAATCGCATTGGACAGAGAGCAACCATTGATGTCCCAGGCCAACGAGGAGGGAATATTACTATGTGTGCAGCCATCTCAGAAAACGGCGTCCTCACCCATATCCCCCGTCTTGGTCCATACAACACACAACATCTGCTGACTTTTTTAGACACTCTTTACAGGGACATAATCCCTGAGAATGAGAGGGGTCTAACTGGAGACCATCTGAGCAAGCATGTTGTTGTTTTGGATAATGTGCGTTTTCACCACTCAGATGTCGTCAGACAGTGGTTTGCAGCACATGATAGGATGCTGGTGGCATATCTCCCTCCCTACTCACCATTCCTAAATCCAATAGAGGAGTTTTTCTCTTCCTGGAGGTGGAAGGTATATGACCGGCATCCACATACCCAAATGGCCCTGCTAGCGGCCATGGATGCAGCATGTGATGACATCACAGCAGAGTCCTGCAGAGGGTGGATTCGCCACTCGAGGAGATACTTTCCTCGCTGCATTGCAAGAGATGATATTCGCTGTGATGTAGATGAAATTATGTGGCCAGACAGAGAGGAACGTCTGGATGTGCATGAATGATTACAGTACTATGTATGTTGTATGTTCAGTTCCAATATGTACTGCAATGTTGTGCACAGCTCTACCCAAAGGGAGTTTATGTTTGTTGTAAATAAGGGTGTATTTTTTCTTTTGCACAATGCTGTGAACAAATTAGAATTGCAAAGAGCATATGCAGTAAAAATGTGAAACATACATATTCAGTGTCTTGTACTCAGTTACCTCACTAAATACAGTAATGTGTAACTTTACTGTATTTTTCAAATGGCTGTGCAAATAGTATATAGTGCTGTCTTGAGCATTTTCAGGTAGTGTCACCAAGATCTGACTTTTTTGCATTGGAAAACATTGACAGAGTAAACTGTCATAATGAAAACATGACAAAGCCATTTGACTATCTTGTTCATAAACAATGGTGTCAGGACTTTTCATCTTGATGACACTGACACTTTCATTGACATGAATACTTGCTTTTGAGGAATGACCTATCCATTTTGAGCAAGTGACACGCTTTTGCAGGTTATCAACTAGGTTTTGCAGTTTGTACTAATTGTTTTGAGAACTGCATTAACTGTTGTGCAAATGTAAATAGTGATGTGAGAAATGCACCAAAGCGACTGAGAAAAACTGTAAGAAAAGATTAAAATGTCATGATAGATGATAGATAGGTAGATAGATTCTATAGAATGAGATAGATAGATAGACAGAAAGACAGACAGGTGGATGGATGGATGGAACGGGATAGGTAGATAGATTATATATAATGAGACAGACGGACGGACGGATAGATAGATAGAACGGGATAGGTAGATAGATTATATATAATGAGACAGACGGACGGACAGAATGGGATAGGTAGATATATTATATATAATGAGATAGACAGACAGTCAGACAGACAGACAGACAGATAGATAGATAATATATAATGAGACAGACAGACAGACAGACAGATAGATAGATAGATAGATAGATAGATAGATAGATAGATTATATAACCAGACAGACAGACAGACAGACAGACAGATAGATAGATAGATTATATAACCAGACAGACAGACAGACAGACAGATAGATAGATAGATAGATAGATAGATAGATTATATGTAATGAGACAGACAGATAGATAGATAGATTATATATAATGAGACAGACAGACAGATAGATAATATATGAGACAGACAGACAGATACATAGATAATATATAATGAGACCGACAGACAGACAGACAAATACATAATATATAATGAGACAGACAGACAGACAGATAGATAGATATATTATATATAATGAGACAGACAGACAGACAGACAGACAGATAGATATATTATATATAATGAGACAGACAGACAGACAGACAGACAGATAGATAGATAGATAGATAGATAAATTATATATAATGAGACAGACAGACAGACAAACAGATAGATAGACAGATAGATAGATAGATAGATATTTTGTTAGTGACGTTAAATGATGTAATGGCTTCAAAAGTGTTCAAACTCATAATTTAGCACTAAAAATATGCGATGGTTCCACCTGCAGACCTGGTGAGACCCACCTCCTCCACCCACCCTGTAAAAACCTCCACACAGCTGAAGTGGAGTAATTTATTAGTCTTAAGCATCTCATTGACAGTCTAAATGGTGGAAACGTTCATGTCACCCAGCTGGCAGTCTCCATGGTTATGGCTGCCCAACAGGAGAAGCCGGGTCACTCGTGTCTTTACAGTCATCATTAAGCACCATTGATTTAATGAATACATCATTTATGAGTGCTAGGACCTTCATGGCCCGCTGCCTCATTAAGTGCAAAGCAAACTAATATGAAGAGCCACCTCACCGTCACCTCCAGAGAACGAGCCAATCATGCGCCGCTTCAGAGCTGACACATTTTGTCATTGCTCATTTTCCCTGACCACCCACCGAGACCCCAGTAAGTGAGAATATGTTTTCTCTCCTGAATATTAGCTGTGATCTTAAAAGGGGAGAAAATTATTTATATACATATATACATAATGTGCATGTGATAATGCCCTGATAAAATGGTTTTAAATTACGCTGAAGCTCTCTTAACAGTGGTAAAAAATCACTGTAATACACAATCTCAAGTGATAATGAAAGGACGAAACTCACAAAGTCATATTTGACCCCAAAATCAAAGGGAAGAAATAAGAATTATAAGTGCATAAAGAAAATTACATTTTTGCAATGTAATATTAATTTCATGACAATTTCTCTGTTTCCTTAACCAGTTCTCCTTACTATAATGCAAAGAACATTATATATTTTTCAAAATATAAACAAACAAAAATAAATCTAGAAATTTAAAATAAATTAAATAGGAAAATTGCATTACAGTAATGAGAATCAACACTGACAATAATGGGATTTACCAAAAAAACAAACAAAAAAAAAACATCTAGATATTATTGTAATGAGAATTAGAGGGGGAAAATGGGGAAATCTCCTCCCTGAATTCTCATTATCGGAATGCAAAGAATGTAATGAATGACATAATGATATATTTTCCAAAAAATAAATCTAGAAATGTTAAATAAATTAAATAAGACAACTGTATTACAGTAATGAGAATCTAATGAGAATCAACATTACACTCATAAGAAAAACATCTGGATATTCTAGTAATGAGAATTAGAGGGGAAATGGGTTTATTTGTCATAAAAATAATTACATAATGCAAAAAAAAAAAAAATCAAAATAGGCATTATTTTCTTTATGTAAAATATAATGACTTATTTTTCTTGTTTTGGTAATATTTATCCAATAAAAGACACTAGTATTCTATAACTAGTCACATTCTTTTATTAATAATGATTTCAATAAAATATTATGCCATAGTTTATGAGCTCAACTGCAGGCTGTTTACACCAAAATATTGAAATCCAGCTGCTGTACGGTTGCATATATCAGCTACTTTACAGGTTTGAGTGCTGGAACTTTGTTTTATAATAGATAATATGGAGTCATTATAGGTGGAATCCACCACTTACACAGTCTCTTTATCTTTGTCTGGGTTGGTTATTTATCTTTCTTGCTTTCCGTTGTTGTTGGAGTAACCTGAGATTGGATTGGGCATGTGTGTGGACATCCTGGAACGAAATCTCCACGCCTTCCCCACACGGTCTAATCGAGTTTCGGCTGGGCCTGCCCCCACTCTCCTCTCCGGCTCTGCCAAAACGGCCCACCACCCATCTCGCTTCTCCCTGGAGTTTGAGCTGGTGGTTGGCCTGAACTGATTTTTTCTCAGTGGGGAAACAATTAACGCCCATACTCCTGGCTTTATGGTCAGACAAGCAGCTGCTTTTCTCAGTTTCCGGGCACATTACTGTCGGAGGAAGTGTGAAGGAGAGGAGAGGCCGTGCGCGCGCCGCCAGCTGTTAACAGAGATTTCTGCTTTCTGCTTATGCCTCACAAGTGCCCACTTACTCAGCTCTAAACATAACCTGTCACAGCAAACCGCCATCGATGAAAACACAAGGCCTGACTGGAGTGTGTGCGATGTGGTAAATAAGAGCAATGGAGAGATGATAACAGGCATAAAAAATCTGATGCCATCAGTGCAAACTACATAAATCAAGTAGGAAGTGAACTGCGTGTACTACGGTTGGATGGTGTGACTGCTTGCTATACTGTTTATCCCACTGTTAGCATGATATAAAATCACTCATAGCGTGATTTAAGATTTTGGTCATACCGCCCACCTCTAACGTCTTGTTTTCAGCACTTGAGCAACGGAAGCAACCAGGCGTCTGACTTTGTCCATGATGGTCTCGTTGTTTGCATCCCACTGTTAGCATGATATAGAATCACTCATAGCGTGATTTAAGATTTTGGTCATACCGCCCACCTCTAACGTCTTGTTTTCAGCACTTGAGCAACGGAAGCAACCAGGCGTCTGTCTTTGTCCTTGATGGTCTCGTTGTTTGCGTGTCAGCTGGTTTCTCTGAGGAAGAAATTCTATTAGTAAACGTATTGCATACTAAAGATGAAACGCAGACCAGACGGCGTTTGTTTGCAGGAAAACGATCATGTTCGCCTTCAGGAGGAGTACAGCTGGAAAAGACTGGACATGATAGAGCTACGAATATTAGAATGCAGTGAGATTCATTTTGTGGCCGTTGACCACCTCGGTTACTGAGACATGCAAAATGTGCAGTGTTGGGGTGCCTCCAGGACCAGGGTTGGGAACCACTGGTCTAAAACATAATATATAGGAACTGGATATTTATTGAACAGTGTAATTTTCAGTAAAATGTGTTATATAGATATTGAATAGATATTATTCTTAAAAATGAAGTGTGGTACAGGTTTTGATATTGTTTTTTTTTTTTTTACTTTATTTAACAAAATTCATAAACTATGCAGTAATGCGACAAAAAAACTGCAGAGACTTAAAATCAGAATAATTAAAAAAATAAAAATTAAATCAGAATAATAGTGACAACAGAGATAATCCTGACCTCTACTTAAGATATAAAAATAATTTCAAATTTTAAAATAAAATAAAATAAAATAAAAAATAAAATATTTATATATGGCATTTTCTTTAAAGAAACTGTTAAACTATGCAATAATTAGATAAAAGTAAAAGTAATACAATACAATAAAATCTGAAATTAAATTAAATCATTAAGGGATAATCTTCCCCCTCTGCAGAAACTCTAAAGATTAAAAAAAAAAAAAAAAACTAAATATTTTAGTTACATTCAGATTCAAAAATCTGATTTGAGAGTTGCAGTGAAGGGGAAGAGTTTCAGTAAATACCAACCAAAATTTATTCTGTCCCTCACATAATATTATAACATTTTTTTTTTTGCACTTTAATGGTTTTAAAACTTGTATAGACCTAAAATCTGCTGATGCTCCAAAACATTTATTCATGTTGTAATTCAAAAATTAGATTTGAGAGTTGCAGCGAGATGTAGATTTTCAGTGAATATCAACCAAATTTTCTTCTGTTCACATAATATTATAATATGTTTTTTTTTTTTCATGGTAGTTTCATGGTAATGTTTTAAAATCTCCAATTTATAGCTTGATAGACATGGTCAAACTTAAGATTTATGTATGGCATTTTTTCTTTAAAGAAATTGTTAAACTATGCAGTAACTAGATAAAAAACTGCAGAGACCTAAATGAATAATTCAAAAAATTATAAAAAAAAAAATTATATAATAGTGATAACAGTGATAATCTTAACCTCTGCTGAAGCTCTAAAAAAAATAATTCATGTTCAAATTCAAAAATTAGATTTAAAAGTTGCAGCTGAGGGGAAGATTTTCAGTGAATATCAACCAAAATCTCTTGTGTTCTTTACACATAAGCACTTATATGGTGATTTTGATTTTTAAATCTCCATTTCAGAGCTTGAAAGACATGGTCAACATTTATATTTGAATATGCCATTTTTCTATAAAGAAATTGTTAAACTATACAGTAACTTGATAAAAACTGCTGAGACTTGAAAATAAAATAAAATTTAAAATAAAATAAAATAATCTTCTCCCCTGCTGAAACTCAAAAAAAATTCAGTCACGTTCATATTCGAAAATGAAATTTTAGAATTACAGTGAATATCAACCAAAATTTG